ATTGAACGGGGATCGAACGACGTTACCGATGACGGAGATCTATCAGAGCTCGAAGATGAACGACGAGATCTACGATCTTCGACGCGTGTTCATGCAACAAGATGTGAAGAAAATTTGTCTGATCGACAACGTCTACGAGCGAACGATAGAGGATCGTCGCGAACGATTCGCGAAATCGCCGGATAATCGTCAAGGAACGATGGAATACGTGTCTGACTCGAGCAACGAAAGTTACAAAGAGGTGCACAGGAAGGAAATCGAGAGGAAAAATTGCCTGCCGGTTGGTGTTTCCAGTGCTTTCACGATTGATAATATCCTCGGGAGACACGAGAAAAAGGACACCGAGGAGGTACCTTCTGGTTTAAACAACGCCGAGGACAAAGAGGAGGAACAGGAAGAGGGAGACGATAAAATGGAAGAAAATCAGTTTATCAGACCGACTGTTATATCGGCCACGCATTCGGGTAACATTTCTGACAATAAAATAGTACTTTTCTTTCGTTGCTCGTTCATTGTTCTGCTACCTATCTGATCGAGGGAATAGACGGATCCTGTCTGTGTTAAATTCTTCGAACGACGTTCCACGCGGTTCAAAGAAATTTTCGTTCTGTCTATGGTGATTTTGACGGTTTAGTTTACGTATCGTTGGAATGGTGTGTTAACGGAGATGTTTAAAAAAATATATGTCGATGTTAGTCGATGAGAATTTGCAAAAAGTCATTAGATTTATTATTTTACAGACATGAGTATGGGATTGTACGCGCCAGCAGGATTATCGTATTCAGAATTCACACTTTCTGATCCTGCTGGTTATTCGGCAACGTCTCTAGCTTCTGCGTCTCTTTTGTACAATAGTTGGTTTGCTCAAACGAAACCTGGTCAATTGTTCGGACTGCAAGGTGAGTTTATTTCATTTATTTAACGAGTCGTTGTAGAAAAGTATATACGCTACCTTTCAAATTCAGCAAAATTGAAAGTAACTGTGGACAAAAAAAAAAAGAATTAGACGAAAATGACAAACTTTACTGTTTTGCTGAGTTTCATATGAAACTTTGAATTTGATAAACGAACATTGGAATTTCATCGTCGGGCGGGAATTAAACGAATTGAATTTCATCGCACTTTAGCCATAGCGCGATTAAGATTACGACAGGCAGTGTGTTATTAAGTTTGCACGTTCCACTGTATTCAAATGGGAAATTGTAAATTGTCGGATAGAGTGTTTTTAGGGGTAACACTTGGTTTCGTCGAAAGTTACGAACTTTTCACATTTTCTCGTTGAAGTATCAGCGCACAAGGAAGTTTCGCTTTATTATAACAAAAGATTGTAATTATTTGTACGTAATAACTTATCGACGTAATTCCATTTTCGCGAACAATGCCGAGAAGAACGAAATCGGCGCGTTCTTTCTTGGCTCCAAGGGAATATTGGACATTACTCGAGGCGTCTATGGTAACAGCTTTTCGACACGCGAACGTCACATTAACAGCTGGGGTGTTGTATCCCCTTAATTTCAGTGTTACCGACCAGGTGTAAAATATATATATATACAGTTGAACGAGTGTCAAATCTTAATAATATTATATAACAAATGGTATTAATAACGTAATAATATTAGGTCTTCCTGAAAGTTCCCGCGGTTTCGAGTCGTTCATTTTGAGAAAAAGCGTAACTCCCTTGAAATAATTTAATTTAAAAGGCGGAATCTTTGAGAAGACATTGCTCAAACTGCTGAAAGAACGAAGCGTTGTTTAAAGTAATTTAATTTAAAAGGCGGAATCTCTGAGTAGACATTGGTGAAACTGCTGAAAAAAGGAAACGTTACTTAAAGTAATTTAATTTGAAAATCGGAATCTCTGAGAAGACATTGGTGAAACTGCTGAAAAAACGAAATGCTGTTTAAAGTAATTTAATTTGAAAATCGGAATCTCTGAGAGAAAGAAACTGCTGAAAGACGTTTACAGTATCCCCCTGTTTGCTGAATCGTGTTTGTGTAAGGTAAAAAAGTGAAAATCGTTTGAAGATAAATCAGGGGAATTTGGGGAATGAGTTAGAACTTCGATACCCAGTTGAAGCAATTTTTATACAGTTCTGCTTGCTAAATGCAGTCTGACACTGTCATGCAAAAGGTTAGGGTCTTTCCTGTTGATCATGACTGCTTGCTGTACCTTCAATTTTCGGTGAACGATCTCCAATTCGTTGTTGTATCATTCTACAGTGATAAATGATACCCTGCTTTAAGAAACTGTAGCGAATTAATTCCAAAGTAGACCACCAAACAGCGAGCATGAGTTTCTCAGGTGCAAACTAAGTTTGGATCAGGGAGATCCATCTGCGCCTTTCTTTCTCTCAGAGATTCTAATTTTCATGTAAAAATTAACGCTGTTGCAATACGTTAACAAAAGTTTATCCAACATTGCAGAAATGATTTCAGTGGAGTTATGCTTTTTAGAAAAATGAAAGGCTTAAAACCTCGGGAACTTTCAGGATGACCTAATAGATTTTCGTTTTATACACGCCATTTTGCAATAACATCTTCCTTAATGTGTTCACAATCGGCGACTACAGAACGTGAATAATATTCATCGGATACTTTAATCCGCCATCGTTGTTTCTCTTCTTTCGCTACCATCCGCCATGCTGTTAGGAGCCCATTTATCAGCGACATTACTCTAACCACCTTCCGGAGAGGTGCTAAATGTCTCTGTACACTCGTAAATCTTTGCTCCGCCGGTTTTCCTTCTTCGTCACTACGTTCCCTTTTCGGCCAATAGTCTTTGGTCTTCTAGGAAATGTGGTCGACCTGCGCAATAAATTTATTCCAATTAATTTGAAAAAATGAAAAAAAACGCGCTATTTAATTCATGTTTCCGTGTATTCCTTGATGTCTAGAAAGAGAAATCATTTAACAGTTATCGTTAACATAATTAAGATTTCTAAATTTTAATTTATATCTGCAACTTTGGAAGCTTGTGTATTTCACTTAAAATATATTTCGCTGATTTCACGTTACTGTAATAATTCGAATAAAATTTGACTTAGGACACGCACGATCTGCGTAAATTTGATTAATTAAAGGAACATCTGAAATTTTGTGTAGATATAAAGATTCGATTTTCTTTCTAATTCGATTTATTTAAAAAATTTCTTTGTTCAAAATAAAGAAAATTTATTTAGTAAGATAAGAAAAATTGTACGTAAAAGAATATCAAGGGGGCAGTAGCAGCTTCGTTTTACTCGAAAGGTTTACAAAAAGGAAAATACGAAAGGTCTTCTGCAAACATGTGACATCTATTTGTTAGACTAGAACGTAAGGGTTGAGTAGCTAACTGAACATTAAACAAGGGAAAAGAGAAAAAAGTCTCCATTTCCACGTGCAATCATCGCAATTTTCAGAATTCAACGATGACCGCTTCAAGAGAAAACTCGAAGACCGTTCGAAGTAATAATTCAAATCAACCCAGTAAATACGAAAAAATTTGTAAAAAAATGTACATTGAGATTCGTCTAAATAATAGGAAATACGTCAAACATAACGTGCACTCCTTGGAAGTGGTATTAACAATACACACAAGAAATTAATGATATCCTGAAATTACACAACTATTTTCTCACTTTTCCACAATTCGCAAAGAGAGTACAATGGTTTGGTTTCTCGCGAAAGAGCATCGCCATTCTTCTTTCTTCGCGGTGCCAATTACATCGTAAGCGTGAAAATTAATCGAAGAATTTTATTCGACGTCCACTTGTTCGTGAAAACGTACCACACAGTGTCGCGTTATTTAAATGCGACTAACAACGATATAATACCTCATATAACCCCTTGAACGGAAATGTGTAGAACTTCTTTGCACCATAATGATAATCGCATCCAAACGTTCCTCGGTATAAACTGTTTGTCCAACTCTTTGCCACATTCTGGCTTGTATTGACAGTAAGATGTCACACGTTCCTCAAACAATCCCACATGTTTTAGACACGCTTGGTAACTCTAGTCGCGGTCCAATGGGCAGACCGGAACGGAGAAAGTGGTAATTGAGTACAAGCTGACAAAGTTAGTTGAACAATTAAGAAGGATGATTATAATGTTAAATTTTTATTATCGTCGTCATAAATCTTCGAGAAGGTCTGTCGCGATAAACTGTCAACTCTACCATAGATGCTGGCCAATTAATGTTTGACTTTGTTGAAATTCTTACCGGTTACCGGTAGAATTTTTCTCGAATTTCTAAATTCTCTAAAATTATTTATCGTTTGCCGTAGCACCTAAACCTAGCGGAAGACGGTCCAGAAAACCAGGAATCGATCGAAAACCGCGTCAAGCGTACAGCGCGAAACAATTAGAAAGGCTTGAAGCTGAATTTAAGGTATGCTTTTTTTCGTAATTATTAAGACACCTGTTGTGTGATTTAAATGGCATTTTCTTGACGAAGTTAGTGTCGTATGAGAAGCCAAAAGAAGCGGAAACGATTAACTCCAGTTTTTGATATTCTTCCAATTTTAGAATCAAAATTAGTATCATGCTTGGTGCTTAATTTTTCATAGATAAAGAATTTAATAAATTTTATTTTATGGAGATAGTCACTTTGGCTCCTGAGTTTGACTTGCGACTTTGACTTGTGAGAAAAATAAGAGACGATAAAGTTTCTGCATTTTTTATACTCGATACGATGGCTTGAGTAGATTTTTTTTTTTAATTTGCAGTGGTTTTCGCGTAATTACGATACCACGAATGTTTGTAGCCCTTTCGCTGACAGGGTTTAATATGTAACGCGCATGACAGAGGGAAAATGTTCAATCGCGGCTGCAAAATCTTTTGTTTCGGCGTTTAAAAAATTTTTTGAAAATTTAAAAAATTTTTAAATTTGTATTTTAAAATGTATCATTTTATTGAATTAAGGTGGAAGTGTGAAAAAAAGCAAAAATAAAGGATTAAATCAATAATAATTTCTTAAAATTGCTAACTTTTTTCTGAAAATGCACAGTGGTCCAAATTTTTTTTACCGGTAGTGTATACGCAAATATTTCTTTTTGGTTCGCAGGTCGACAAATACTTGAGCGTAAGTAAACGAATGGAATTGTCGAAGTCTCTGAATTTGACGGAAGTGCAGATAAAAACGTGGTTCCAAAATCGTCGTACTAAATGGAAGAAACAGCTTACATCCAGGTTAAAGATCGCCCAAAGGCAAGGACTTTTTCCACCCACATATTTTCCACCAGCACAATACCCTCTATTGCCATATTACACCACACCTCTTGTGTTTGGAACTTCGGCGTCAGATGACGCTAACGTGAATCCGACGCAGATAACGTCACGACCTGTGGTATCATCGTCAGATACCCTATGAACGAATATCGATTTGAACTACTTAGCCGATTGTGACAGAAAAGTGCAATCAAAATTCGGTTTCACCATTTCACCGTAGTACCAAATGATAATTTTCATACCAAGCCATAATCATGTACATTTATTCAAATAATTCTCGCTGTATCTGTACAATACGATCTTAAGTTACCATAAATGCATGAAATTAGTTTTATGTACATAAATTTTGATGGTAATAAATAGAAGTTTAAAAGTATCCTTGCCTTTTGTGGTTATGCTATCTGTTGAATATATTTCGTGGTAGGATTTAAAAGTTAAAGTTTCTTATTTGTGTTATAGAAATGAGCAGAGATGTATTTGATGGTAATAAAAAGATGTGAAAAAAGTTAAATTTAAGGTTGTTAATTCAGGTGTAGTGATAAAACGTATATTGGATTTGTAATTTTAATTTTTTCTCATCGAGTGTTTGTGATTAGGTTATTTTTCCTTTTCGATTATATATTTTATAAAGTGTAATGGTAAACATTGTACCATTGTTGAAATTAGGCGTTATTTGAAAAATTATTGAATAGGAAACTTGTAAAATTTTGAGGAACTTTACACGCTGCATGAACTTTTTCGTAAATTTCAGAAATTTGAAAGTGATTTGTGTTTAGTATTTATTTACACATTGTTTCGTAGTATTCAGTCGCGAAATATTCTCAAATAATGTTTATTACTTAATATACGAACTTCACTGGACATCATTGGGATTAATTTTTGGAGGTAAGCTTGAAAACTTTCGAAGAACGTTTATTAAAAATTAAAGTCAGTTTCGAACTATCGTTCGTGAACTCAAAAATCTTATTACACGAAAGACGAACTTGTAAATTCTTCGAAAATGTAGCAAGTACGATACTTTGTCTATCATAACACACAGTGAACAAAATTATTTTATATTTTCTTATGTTATATCATTTTTTGTTATATTAGTTTCTGTTACGCAGTGAGTCCCACGCTTTGCCCTACATTGTGGTATATTATTACATCTCATCGATTTATCTGTTTCGCAAGCAACGGTTCGCACTTTTGGATACATAGGGAATTTTATTTTTGGAATCATATTATTAAGCTTCTTAAGGTTTAATTTTGCCTTCTTTTTTTTGCTCTTTTTTCTTTCAGGATGCAGAGTGCTCATATCGCGCATTTTTACTTTCACTGACGACTGCACTGTTCTAACGTGAATTTCTGGACTGCAACTTTTGTCAGAGGTCAATCTTTCTTTAATAGAAGCTTGTACAGACATGTGAAGTTTGTCTGTCTTGTTGGACATCGCCGCTGCAATTGCCATTGTACTTTTAGCACACAAATAACAACAGCTTTTCGTGAAATCCATTTCTGGAACGAAATCTTTAATCAGTTGTTCATCCTGACCCATTTCAAACGTACGCACAGATGTATCTGAAGGATGTCCCTTCTTTTTCTTCATGCTTTTTTTACGTTCTTTCGAATCTTTAAATCTGCCTACTTTTTCATCTCTCCTGTGTTTCTTTTTCGAGGGATCAATTGAATCTCTATGACTTATGGTTGAAACACTAGGTTCTGTACTAAAAGTGGTTTGTTTCTTTTTTTTAAATTTTTTCTTCAGACGTTTGCAAAAACCTTTTTTCGATTTACGCACTTCGGTTATCTTAGATTTTTTTCTTCTGCAACATTGAGCACACCATAAATAAATCTTCTGTCCTATGTTACTAGATTTGTCTCTAGACGTAGAACTCGAAGTAGAATCAAGATTTGCATTTTGCTTTCTCTTTTTCTGCTCTTTATTTTTTCCTTGACTTTTGCCAAGATTCTTATTCTTTTCGGATATTGTTTGCGCTATTATGAAATGAAATTAGTATTGATTGCAAAACGTATAATTACCTTTAATATAGCAAAATTTACTTGAGCTGTACTCAAATGGATTTCGCCTGAGTGTTTGAGTACGTTTAAAACTGTCTCTCTTTTCATTCTTCTGTTTGTGTTTAAGAGATTGATTTATATTTGCAAAATGAGTTTCTGACATTGCCTCCGTTGAATTGTACGAATTATGCTCACTCTTGTACGAACAGTTTATGTTATTAGGTTAGATGCCACTCGTTATTTTTAATCGAAGACTAAGTAAGTGTAAATTATAATCAGATTTACTTTCAATTATTTTATGCAACTACGTTTATATTTCTTACTTGATGTAATTATCGTAAAGTTTAATTTCATTATTAATAGAAGGTTAGATACTTTACTAAATTAATCGAAGTTCACATGATCACTGACTTTAATTTTATATTTGTAATTTTTAAGTAGATCTGAACGAAATATTGTTAGATACAAATAATTTAATGTAATTTCAGGTTTATTATTTTGTTTGTAGCAATATTAAATTTTATAATATTAAATTTCGATCCATGTTTGGTTTTTAAAACTCCCGGGCAGAGGGAGGCTGGAAGTGCTACCAACGTTGTAAATGTAAAATTCCTGTTCCTATACAAGCCATGCATTTTTATTAGACTCGACGATATTTTGTTTAAAATTCTAAGTAATTAACAAAATAATACTGTAAATTGTGTCTTAAATTAGTTACATAAAATGTTATAATACGGAATATTTTTTTACTGAAAGAGTTTTTCACATGGGGATAAAAATTTTGGAATCTTGGAATTGCTAATAAAACTGAAAAATCATTTATATAAAATGTACGTATATAACAAACTGTGTAAATAATTATCCTTTAATATCATAGGGCAATATTAAGGTATAGTAATTTAATGCATATAATTTTATATTATTCCATAGTGTACTCATATAAGAGTAAAAAATATTTTTCATACAATATTCACGAATAAATATTAATATTAACGTTGACGTTGCATATGCATATCAAATTGACATTCACTAGAATTATAGGGGTAACTTCATTTATAATTTGCCTACGCCTATGTTTGAATTAGCGTGGACGCCATTGAATGACATCACACGTTTACATTGCAGGCTAGCAACATCTTCGTAGCGGATGATAACTATCGCTCTCTAGCGGCACGGGATCGGACGAATAACTAGCGCATCATGAAGATCACAGGGAAGTCGAAGCTTCAGCGGTGGCAAGACTGCCAGTGGCGACGGTGGCGACTGGCCGACGTCGTGTGTATGTTTTGTTGCTGCTGCGATGCGTCTATTAAATCTGGAGTCGTATCGTAAAAGAGTGTGAGAAAAAGAGCGGTCAGCTGTTGCGACGCTTGCCAGATAGCGCGGTGAAACGTACGGCAGAGAAGTAAATAGCCGAGGAAGGATTGGAGGAGCGAGGAAAACGAATAGCGTGCGACAGAAAAAAGGTTACAAGGGGCGGATCGTCGGTGGTAAGGACCGTCCGCGTGCAAGTGATAATATCGGTGGAAAACGATGGCGTAAGCTCGTCAACCCTGATTTGGAGGCGTACCGTGTGCCGTGTATCGTGGCCTTCCGTCATTTTCTGCTGGGTTTCGTACGACGCGTATGTCTCGGCTGCTCCGAAAAGTTGCGCGCGCGAACAACGGAACGCGTTTACACCGTAAAGTCAGTGAAAATATCATCTAGTGTGTGCTGTGCTATCTAGTTGCTACGCAAGCTGAGTGGTGAATATACTCGGAATATCGGTTCATCTTTAATCACCGGGTATCACGAAGCTTTCGCGTATACACCACCAGCGTTTACTATTCGTAGTTGCATCGTGTTTCTCGTGTCTTGTTACGGTTGTTAAGTGACTAACGTTCGAAACCGCTGCTTCCTCGTGTCATCACGTTGTTGTTTTGTTTATTGTTGTTCGCGCGTATTCGCGAGGTAGTGCCAAGAGTTCTTACTGTGGGAGAGAATATGGTTACAATGCTCAGTGATACGTGCGGATATGTTCTCTTTCTGCTGTTGCTGTTGTTGGTTCCTTATATCGAGAGTGGTAAGTGTCTACTCTATGAACTTCATCTTATTTCCCATTTTAGACATATTTTTAGACCGAACGAGATTGCCTTTCGATTTCAACATGACGTGATCGTGTATCAATAGGGTTGTGTTTTGCGAGAGAGTGTACATCCGTGTGTTGCTTAACGTTTAGCCCGTGAAATGTGCTGTTGGCTCGATGTCATATGCATACGCGACTCTCTGCATACGGATATGTATATATGTGTGCGTCCGTTACTGCGCTCATGAATCATCCTTTCACGAAGAGCGTGTCGAGCGCATTTCTCTGTGATGCTTTCGAAACGAAAGGCAAATGCAGTGCTTACTTTTCGGAAACGTTTGTACCTTTTTTTTTTTTCTTTTTATGCTAAAATGAAACTGTCGAGGATGTGAAGCTGTATTATTCTGTTCCCCCGTTCGAGGATGTGATTATATACGACCGTTGTTTTTACGAATAAAAATTACATTCAGTTTATGGGGCTCTAATTTGTAGTCACCCCGGTGGTTAAATAGGAAATGCATTCTCATTGCGTGTGTTTTAACCTTAACAACGCGCGTTTTAGATTGAAACGCGGATTTCCGTTTGAATTCTGAGAAAGGAAAAGGAATACAATCAGTGAGTGAATTTCATGAATCACGAATTTGCTGAAATTGGAGATAACGTTTCTTTAGAAATTTATACGATAAATTGTGTAGGTTATAGTTTTTCCTGCTCGTACTATCCAATGAATCATACGCGCGGTTCAATTTATCGCGTGTTCTGGAATTATCGATATATTGGAAACTTTTATTCGTGTATTATCGATCGAAATTTACGAAAAATTTCTTTGTGTGATCAAGTGAGAGCGATCCACTTTACCGTAGTGTAAACCGTAAAATTGCCCTCGCCGGAAGTCCCAGTTAGGGACCAGTGACTGATGTAGATGATAGATGCACACTGACGAGTGCGCCACTATGTTATCTATTTGAAGTTAAAAGTAAACGCGAAAAAAAAGGGAAACGCGCACAGATTATTTTGACAATTTTTATCATTTTTTTAAATCTCGTAACATCGAAGACAGAGTATTTAATTTTTCTTCATCGGAAGACGACTTTTTTAAAACCATAACGTCTTTATTTATTATCACAATTTATATATTAATTTTTTAATTGATAAATATTTGTAAAAGAAATGATTGATAACAAATTATATAAATTGCATAGGAGTTACACAAGATGTTTACTATTCATGATTGATAGTGTTTTGAGACCGTTATTCCTCGAACGTAAATATTGTAGTTGATAACATCAAGAAAATTTATACAGAATTATTCAAAAAATTATGAAATTTGTATAAGTGGGATCAGGTGAAATCTGATATTCTTCAAATTTATCGCATAAAATGAAAAATTCTGGTGTGTATAATTATAGTGAATAGGAAATATGAAATATTCTTTAGTTTTTTGTAGCTATATTAAAATTTTGCAAAACATTATACAATGTTTAAAACTTATACTCTGTATTTTAAACACTTTGTTCATTTTTTTTTCATACAAATGAATGGATAGTTTTATAAATATATTTTATATGCATTGCGACAAGCGTTGTAAACGTTTTAAGAATTATCAACCTTATTAATGTGGGCGCGTGTGAATCATGCGTTCTGAATGGAAAGTTACCGAATATCATTGTGGCAGGAAACGTATAAAATGGACATTAGAATATCCTGTTTGTTCTTTACAACTCTTTTGTCAAGAAACTCTTATCTAGAATAGGATTCAGTAATTAAATTAGCATATACTAATTTAATAATGTGATTAAATTATTAAATTACAAAATACGAACTAATGCATTAGAAGCAGATTACACGTATACCGATCGAGTTATCGAATAGATCATTTTTTTTTAGAATAAAAATAACTTGAATCTATCGATTTGAAACTTTGTACACATTTATTTATATTTTATCATGTTACATGAATTTCTTTTTCGTTTAACAAAAATTTATTTGCTTATCACGAAAATATAATACCTTTTACATACGGTGTAAATAAAAAACATGTACTTGACGATTAAAAGTTGGGAAGTAAGTCTCGTTAAATATTTACAATTCCATTAATTTTAACGAAACTCTTTAGGGACGTATTTTAAAAACCTCCAACTAGCAGAAAATGTAAGAAAAACAAATCAATTCTTGGAAAGTTCTACATGGAGTAACCTCTTCCGTGCACTTGTTGCATTATCCACAAATACATACATACACACCACTGGAGGAAATTATAAGTTCGCCGTGTTTTTCAGTAATTCGGTCGATTCTATTTCTTAATTACTCAAGTACGAACCGTTTCTTATTCTGATTTAAATTAGAGAAAGCAACTTTAGGTAAAGCGTTAAGATTAACTCTTTCGCTGCGGCAGGTTTTAATAAGTAACGCGCGTTGCAGATGGCAGATGTTCAACAGCGTTCGCAGAATCTTTTGTTTTGGCGTTTTAACATTTTTAAAAAATTTCAAATTCGTCATTTTATTAAATTAAGGTGGAAGTGCGCAAAGGACGAAAATTGAGGATTGAATTAAGGTGGAAATATGCAAAGGGCAAAAATTAAAGGTTAAATTAAGGTGGAAGAGTGCAAAGGGCAAAAATAGAGGATTAAACGAAGGTGAAAGTGTGCCAGGAGGCGCCAAGAGCACGGCGAGAGAAAATATTCGGACCGCCTATAGGCGCGAAGGACACAGTGCGAGAAACATTCAACGCGCCTATAGGCGCCAAGGTCACAGTTGGAGAAAATCTCAAAAACTCCTACAGGCGCCAGTAGTGAAAGGTTTAAACAATGCAAAAATTAGTGCGTATAGGAGACTGTTCGGCACTGATATATATCATCAGTAGACTGCGGATTTTTATACAAATTTATATTTTTGAGAATATGGTAAAAAAATTATTTCACATATTTTTTCATATTACGTGTATTCAAATTTCCTACAAATGTATAAAAATCCGCAGCCTAATTATCAGATAGACTTATCACGAGATTATTACGAATGCATCTGGTAGGGATGGGGTTAAGTTCAATATATACTTACGAATCCCAGTAAATTTCAATAACCAAGTCTCATTTCACTGGTTTCGATTACTACTCACGAGGAATAAAGTTTCAACGAGTACACTTGCAATGTAATCATTTAATGGAAATTGGTTTCGAACCCCGGAATAAGTACCTGCAAAGAATCGAATTTTGGAAATAAGAATTCTTATAATTTTAGTTATTACTCTATAACTGAATCATGTACAAAAAGTACCATAATCGATTGTAAAAATAGCGAAGTAAGAGTAATTTTGAAAAGCAGAAAATTTTTGGGAAAATATAAAATTTTTCGATCAGTATCCGAGTCTACTTGCAATTTCTTCAACTACTCATCAAAGATTCGAATCTATCACTTGCAAGTCCTGTTTTTATTTCTCGAAACACCTACAGAAAGTTCGAATCCAATCGGTCAATATTTGATTATCCGAATCGAAATCACTCGAGTATCGAAATACTCTAATCCAAATTGAGCAGCAATTCGAACACTCGACTACTCAAGCTTCCTATATCCGCAAATCCAAGCAGCAGCAAAATCTCCAAACGTAGATTCGTTGTATTCTCGATCCGATAAAAAGAAACGAGTTATCGCTCCCGCGGAATATTCCCCCAGAAAATTTTCGTCCTTCGAAAAATTTTCCTTCCCAGAGAAACACCCGGAACACTTTGATGAGAGTAAAAATTCGCCGCAGACCTTGCAACGCAGTCGGAATAGAAAGATGCAGCAGTTAACTCTGATAGGTTGGGTCGTTTCGTTTGGCCCTGGGGCCATATCTCAAGGACAAAAGGTCGATTTTTCTTTTACCGAACTTTTCAATTCTTCGACGAACCCAGGGCACTTCGAATGGCTCGCGGGACGCTGTAGCAAACTTGGGGAAATCCTGAAGCGCGGCACGTTGCGGCCATCCTCGTATATCTCATTGGGAAACTGCGTTTGCCTCTGGAAAATGTGCAGTCGAGAGCTGAATAATATAATGTCCTGATTTTCAAATTTCATACAACCTTCTCGAGCTTCTACCTGTTCTATCTGCGATCTGACTTCCAGCTCAACGACGGTTTAGAAATTCTTCCTAGAGTATGTTTATTCTCCCTTTCGTTACTATTGGCGCTTATATGCGTTTTGAACATTTCCCCGCACTATACTGTTTGGAGCCTTTCGGCGCACTTCCACAATTGTCTACTTTGTCGTCCAATTTTAGTAGTATTCCGATAAGAAAATTCTACACCCGAGGCAAACACGGATAGGAAATGTGCGAAATAACAACGATCCGGCCGGGTATTTAAATCTTTTCCTGGAAGATCAAATATTTTAAGTGAGAATTATGCAAACGGGTATCCCGTTATTGACATAAGGGTTAATTTAACACGTAATTTTATCCTTTACGCACTTCCACCTTAATCTCATGAACCGAATTTTAAAACGATACGGTCGAAATAATAAATTTTGCAGCCGTGGTTAAAAATTTACCCCCAGTCAATCATGTTACACATTAAAATCTTAAGAAGGGGTTAATACACCGTTTACGATGATTCAGATGACACTGTGTTTTAAGTTTGCTGTGTGCTGGTTTAATTATTCTTCGCGTTGGACGTTTTTTTTTTTTAATTTCTTCTTTGGTTTTGTATTGTGTAGATATGAAGTAATAAAATTTCGTTTATTTCTGTTGTTGCGCTTCATTAGTATTAATATTACGTTGAAGTGAGATACTTCACGGTTTTGTACGACACGCAGAGAGAAATATGTTGGAAACACTAACTTTGCAGTTTTCCTAATGCATCCGACTACGAACTGTTCTCGTCAGAAAATGTCCCACTTTAGACGAAACGCTTTTGTGCAACAGTTTTTTCATATATTGCAAACTTTCGCGTATAACACTGGTTTGCATTCAAATCCTCGGTGAGAAACAATAGGCGCATTCCGTAGATTTTTATATGTTAAAT